TGCGGGCGCGGTTGGACCGCTGGCAGTTTCAAGTTCTACCTGGACACCGAGTTCGGCGACTGGAGGCCGCCCTCGCGTGCATCGGTAAGCTCGTGCCCCCCTGCGTGTGGGCAGCCGCGCTCAAAACCTTACTTGATGGGTGGACCACGGCTGGGGCGAGCAGGAGGTCCTCGCCATGCTTGTTCGGGTGCCAGAATGGGCAGGACAGCATCGTGCACTATGCGCGCTGCCCGTGCGTGGTCTGGTTGGCTCGGACGCGCCTCCGGCTGCAGCCGGCGCCGGCCGCCGCGCGTCTCGACGACTTCTTGCTTTTGGGCGGCCAGTCGTCCGAGCGTCACCTGGCCCTGCGGGCGCTTTGCTTGTGCGCCACCTTCATGGCCACGAATGCCGTGCGTCGCGGGCGGGCGACTGCCGCCAGCGACGCATGGGTGCAGGCCTTCATCGAGGCGGCGGCTCGCGATTCTCCGCTTGCTAACATCGTGAACACGCTCTGGAGCAATTGATCCTGTCCTACACACCACCACCTGCATGTGTTCATGTTCGACTTTTTCTTCTGCGCGACGGTCGTCTTCTGATCCTCCTGCTCCTCCTCCCTCCTGCGCGGTTTCACATCGCCCTCCCGCGGGGGACCCTGGCGGGCTTGTGTTGGCCAGCGACTCTGCACTCGTGCACGTTTCAGCACCCCCCTCGCTGCTCCCTGCGCTGCTGTCGTTCCCTCGTCGTTCTCGCCCCTGCTCTCCTCTCCTCCCCTGCTCCGTGGCCTCCCTCTCTTGGTCTCCCCCCGCCTCCGCGGGCCGTCCTTCTCCGTCGTCGTCGTCGTCGTCGTGCGGGGGGCCCCCGTGGGGCTCCCGTGGGGCTCGCGTGGGGCTCCCGTGGGGCTCCTGTGGGGCTCCCGTGGGGCTCCTGTGGGGCTCCCGTGGGGCTCCCGTGGGGCTCGCGTCCTCGTCGTCGTCGTTCTCTCTCCTCCTCGGGGGTGCTGGAGTCAAAAATGCGTAGCCCACGGTGGTCCCCAAGCGTTGCGTTTGAACGCAGGGACGTGCTTGCCAATACAGTTCGTACTCAGCAGGTTGCGCCTGGCAGCCCTCCAGCGCGCCACGGCATTGTGGCTCCGCTTCCTCTGGGATGTTCGTGTGGTATTTCTCGGCTTTAGTCATTGTGCCTGTCGTTTCAATTGTTTCCTCGTGCTGCCCGCGCGGCCAAGGTACGTTTTGAGGGTAATTCGTATCGCTTTACCCGTCCGGATTTCCGCCCTGCTGAACTTTGCTCGTGCCCGAGCTTGGGGCCATTGCCCGATTTTGGGGCATGGAAGGTGATCCTCGACTCGTGCGCCTCGCTTCTCCTCCTCCTCCTCCTCCTTCCTCTTGCCTTCTCCTCTTTCCCCTTCGCTGCTTCTCCTGCCTCCTTGCTGCGGCCCGATGTTGGCTCTTTCCTCATCTGAGTCTCGGGTGACCCTGTAGGGTAATCCACAGGTGTCGCCGCAGCACTTTTTTAATTTGATAGCTGCCGCCTCTCCGTGCTGGACAATTGAAAAGCTGCGCGCCACGAGTATCGCAGTCAGCATGGCTCCGGAAAAAAAAAAAGAAGAAACAAAAAGAACACTAACACAAAAGAAAGAAAAAAAAAAAAAAAAAAAAAAAAAAAAAAAAAAAAAAAAAAAAAAAAAAAAAAAAAAAAAAAAAAAAAAAACTCCCAGAAAGGCTTGAGCGCTTCTGAGAAGCCTCGCCGCCTTCTGATGAGGCCTTTTCCTTCTCACTTCCCCCCTCGCTCGCCGCCGAGATGTGAAAAACACAAGCGGGCACGCGGCTTCCCAGAGGCCGGGAGTGCAGCACTCGCGCGGATCTCCAGCACCTTTTTTTCCAGGTCCTGACCCGTCCGAGAGGCTCGCCGAGCATCTCCACAGTCAGAAGCAGCTGTGGACCACGACAATCGGCGAGTCTCACGTTCGTCGGGCGGGCGGTGATGGGGTATGACCTACATGGGGGGTGAAGAGAATGGCGCCCCTTTTGGGCCCCTGCTGGCTCCTTTTTGGACCCTGAAGAGCCCTTAGGGCCCCATTTGGACCACGACAATCGACGAGTCTCACGTTCGATCTCCAGCCCGTCGATCACTCTACAGTCGAGCACTCTATAGTTGAGCAAAGGGTCAAGAAAGCTACATGGGGCCCTCGATGTATTCCACAGCATCCACAAAATGCTCATGGGAGGCAAGTTTAAAAACACACTTCCCCAGGTCGCCAAAAAGTTCATCCGCGAGGCTTGGGAAGATGCCCAGGCCGAGTAAAGAGCTGCTGTGCCCTTAGTCGCATCGTTCACCGAGCCGAACAAGAGGAGGCCAGGAGGACGACGAGGATTGAGATTCTTGAGGCAGAACATACCCACGAGGGACCCAAAATGGGGAACTCGAACTGTCATTTGGAGCCCTCCGATTGCAGAGGGTCCCCGATGCCCCGAAGAGGCCCCCAAGAGGCCTCCAGGAGGTCCAAAAGGGACCTAAGATGGGCCAGTGATGGTCCAAGAGGCGCCCAAGACAGCCCAAACGGGCCCCCCGAAGGGCCCCAAGATGGACCCAATATGGACGAACTCCAGCTGACGTTTGGAACCCTCCGACCCGAAGGTCCCCGAGGCTGCCATCAGGCCCCCAAGAGCCAAGAGGCTCCCAGGAGGTCCAACATGGGAGCCCCAACAGGCTCCCAAAAGGCCTCTCGCGTGCCCTTGTGCTCGCGACCCTTTAAAGCCTGCGGTTGCGACTCGTTCCCGCTCATGCTGTCCGCTCCGTTTCGCGCTCCCTGCTGTTTCTCCTTCTCCGCATCGTCGTCGCGTCGCTGAGGTCGGAGCCGTGCCCGCGACGCTGCCGCCGGCCGTTAGCGGCGCCCGCGATGGCCAGGAAGGCGCCCAGCGCCAGCCCAAGCAGGCCCGTGCCGAGGGCGCCGCGTCCAAGGCAAAGAAGGAACTCACAAGGCGCGACGGACATGTGCTTCACGTGCTTCTTCGTATCCATGACCTAGCAGCGCTTGAGATGCGCGCAGCAGGCGCGCGGACTCGGAGGGTGCCTCTTCGACACTTAGTGTGCAAGCCGTCCGCCGCAGAGATCGCGAAGATGTCGGAGCAGATGCGCAACTAGCGGTGAAGGCGGGCGGGAAGTGCCACTCGCACGGTGCTCCCTACGTCTGGGCGTTCGCGGGTTGGATCGAGGCATTGAAGGAGAGAGGGGGTGCAGTTGGCGTCCAGAACGCCAAAGGCATCGAGCTGACCTTCCAGTGCATGGAGGAGTACAGCGTGGAGGACAGTATGGAAGTCATTCGAGTTCGCCGCGTAGACAAGGCCTGCGACAAGGATCTGATGAGGATGGCGCTCGTGCTTCGCAGCGAGGAGTGAAGGCAGGCCGTGATCGGAGCGTGTGTTCACGTCGAGATGTCGAGGAAGCGCGGCAAAGCTCCTGCTAGGTTTCCTGGGTGCTAGTTGCAAGAGTATCTGGGCCATTTTGTGGAAAGTGAGTGATGATGTCTGCGATCCACTTCTCCTCCTGCTCCTCCTCCCCCTCCTCATTTGCCTCGTCCTCTGCGTCCTCCTCCTTTCTTCTGTGCCTCGCGCGTCTGGCAGTCTTGATAACGACCTGGAGGGTTTCCTTTTGACTACAATCGAGTGGGGCAGCGCCCGCTGGAACAAGCTGAGTGCGAGTGTGCGGTTGCATGAGCGAGTACGCGCAGGGCGTGACTAGCAGTGTTCTCCAGCTGGCTGCAACTCGCGAGTCGGTCGGCGTGGCCAGCCGCGGGGTAGACGCGCGCCGGGGTGCTGGCTCAGTGCCATGCTCTTTCTGCTGAACGTTTCGGTCTTGAACACCCGCACGCCGCCTATGAATGTAATTGGATCAGGCGTTCCACACGGGCGAGACATGCCGTTTCATTCTTTCACCGTTGCTTGTGATGCGTGGCTGAAATGTTCCAGGCTCGCGCAAGCGAGTGGACGAGTGAAACCCGCCAGCGCGTAGGAACCACGGGGGCTGGTGGCACCAAGTGAAAAACCAGATCCCCGTCCTCCTTTCGCTGGCCAGTCGCGCGGCCATGGAGGCCTTGGAGGCAGAAGCGGAGGACAGCCTGCGGCAGCCGTGGGCAGCCAAACAAGTGCAGGTGCCAAGGGGCAACCGCCGGACGCCAAGGTGAGGGCCACTGCAGGCTAGAGTAGCGGGCGCCGCTTGCTGAAGTCGGATCGGGACGCATGTAACGGTGATCCAGCCTTGAAGTCCAGGGCGGGAATTTATACATGACCACCGCCTGCAGGGTCAGTTTTCGGAGCTTCGGCAGGCGTGGATATGGACATATTCGGGACCCCGGGGGCCGAAATATATCCAGATCCACCGCCCGCTGGGGCACCAGGACGTCGGTTCCCAGGCGGTGGATATGGATATATCCCCGCCTCGCATTGATGGGGGTCCGGAAATCTTTTGTGATGCCCTTTAGTTGCTCCAGATTTGGAGGGGGCCTTGCAGACTGGGCCCTCCTTGCTGTGCCCCAGCTGGCCCAGATTTTGGTTTGGGAGCCACTTCGTGGTTGGCCCGGCTTCTCGGCGCGGCCCTGGTTGACATGGGTTAGCAACGCAATCCGATGATCATTGGAGTGAGCTTCATGACCGCGGTGAGGCGGGGCCATTTGCGCGTGCATGCGGCGTTCTGGTTCGGTTGTGACAGAAACTGGCAGTGAACTTGTGCAGCTGTGCAGGACTTGTAATCTTGAGCGCTCGATCCCCCTTTTTCCCTCCTGCCTACCTCCGCTGCGCCGTCGCCGCCGTCGCCGTCGCCGTCGCCGTCGCCGTCGCCGTCGCCGTCGCCGTCGCCGTCGCCGTCGCCACCGTCGTCGTTGTCGCTGTCGCCGTCGCCGTCGCCGCCGCCGTCGTCGTTGTCGTCGTCGTCGTCGTCGTCGTCGTCGTCGTCGTCTTCGTCGTCGTCGTCGTCGTCGTCGTTGCCAGGTGTCCCCCCCGCCCCCGGGGCGCGCCCCTGCCCGCCAGGTGAAGAGCGGCAACGGCAAGGGCATCGTCATCCGCACCGCCATGGACACGGAGGCCTCTCCCCCTCCTTCACGAGGAGGAGTAGGAAGAGGAGGAGGAGGAGGAAAAGGAGGAGAAGAAGGAGGAGGAGGAGAAAGAGGACCAGTGTAAAACCAAGAGTCATCAACGATGTTGGAATGAACCCTCCCTCCAAGCTCCCTCTTCATAAGCCCCCACAGCGGTTCATTTCCATTGAGGGAGCTGCATCGTTGGAAGACAACCGCTTGAAGAACCGGAAGCATGCCAAAACATTGTTTTCGGGATTTCACCGCCAAGTATCAACCTGACTGCTGCGTCTTGACGATCCGGAATCGTGCCAGAGCGCCGCGCCCGCATAGTCCTGAGTCTTTCCAAAACACCGTCTGTGAAACGTTGATCATGGGAATTCGTGAAACTCTTGCAACTTTTGGAAACGAATGTGCGCGGCGCTAAGGCGAGAGCCACATTTTGAAAGGAACCGCCCTCAATCCGTCAAGCTCTTGCAACTTTGAAAACGACTGCGCGCGGCGCTGAAGCGAGAGCCGCATTTTGAAAACCACCCGCCTTCAATCCGTGAAACTCTTGCAAAGTTTAAAACGAATGTGCTCGGCGTTAAGGCGAGAGCCACATTTTGAAAACCACCCGCCGTCATTCCGTGAAACTCTTGCAAATGTTTCAAAACGAGTGTGCGCGGCGCTAAGGCGAGAGCCACATTTTGAAAACGACCCGCCCTTATTCCGTTAAGCTTTGCAAATGTTTGCAGCGAATGTGCGCGGCGCTAAGGCGAGAGTCACATTTTGAAAACGACCCGCCCTCCATTTGTGAAATTGCTGCCACTTTTTAAGCTTCAGAGGCGTAAATGGTGAGAAAGTCTCAGGCGAAACGCCCAGCCCGCCCTAAAAACTGGCCTCGGGGTGCGGCAGGGAGTAGTTATCTATAAGGAGAAGGAATGGATGAGGAGGAGGAGGAGGAGGAGGAGGAGCAGGAGGAGGAGGAGAAGGAGGAGGAAAAGGAGGAGGAGGGGGAGGAAAAGGAGGAGGGGGGGAGGTCTCGTCGCGAGCTGGTCCTGGGCTTCGAGTTGTTACTCTTACTGGGCCATGTTGCCGCCAGAACGCGCGAAGGTGCGCGTCTGGCACAGCTGCGACAAGTCGTCGTGGCTGGGCTTCGGAACGGATTCGTGCCTGGACGATGACTTTTTCCCCGAACTCGAGGAAGAGGAAGAAACGGAGGAATAGGAGGAATAGGAGGAGGAGGAGGAGGATAATGACGAGAAGGAGGAGGAGGACAAGAAGTAGTAGTAGGAGGAGGAAAAGTGGGAGGATGATACTGATAATATTCCTATTTTCATCATTAATAATACTAGTCTTAATACTAGGAATGCTAACCACAACAATCATAAACAGCTACTACTTGTATTAATGGTAGTAATCACAATAGTAGTCATACTTCTAAAAATACTAAGGGTAATCAGAATTATCATAAGTAAAGAACGAGGAGAAGCCAGGCCGTGACGGCGTTCCCTCAGGCCAGGACCGAGCGTCACGGCAGTAGTGGTGAACCAACAGTTCCCGGCCCATGAACCTCACGGTCTATTCTTTCTCTTCCCTTTCATCTACCTGTCGGAGTACCTCTACTCCCACGTCCACACCCCTTGGGGGCCACCCAGCGTCCAGTGGACTTTTGGACCACGCATGTCTGCGGCCCCCAGGGGCTTCACCACAGACACCGTGAAGGTGTTGGGCGCGTTCCAACGACTCCCAGGAGGAACTGTCCAGTGTTTTACTTGAGAGCATGGGCGAACTCTCCTGGCTGCGCGCAGTTGGGTGAGCTCGCCAGCCACACCGCCGGGCGCACGGCTAGAGTGCGGCGATGCATCCTGGACGGGTTGGGAACGCTCGCGGGGTAGGACCGTATTGGATTCCGTTTCTCTTGGCTTCTCTCCACCAGAGCTGATCCATTGCCCTCTCCATCCCGAGTCGAATAGGATGTACCGCCCTTTGGCTCATGCTCCCGAGCGACAGACGTTATCCGATGCATCGCCATGCCACCTTTCTCTACCACTACGGCCAACCCCGCAATTCTAGTCCTTCCCCTTCCTTTCCCTCGTCCTCATCCTCCTCGACGACGACGTCGGAAAGAGGGAGGGAGGGAGGGAGTCGACGACGACGACGGCGACGACTGCGACCGACGACGGCGGCGACGACGGCGGACGCTGACGACGGCAACGGCGACCGAAGATCGAGGACCGACGACAGATTGCAACCGACGGCGGCCATCGGCGGCGGCGGCGGCGCCCTTGAAGCCGCCCGGTAGGTCGGCAAGATCGCCGGCATGATGACGGCCGACAACGAGGGGGGCAAGACCTGCGGCTGCCAGGGTCAACGATAGGGGGTGTAGGCTCAGAGGGAACGCATCGACCCCAAGTCGCCCATTGATCGCCGATGGGGGCCCAGTAGCTGCTACCGGGACCCCATCATCAATCTACAGGCCTCGGAAAAAAAGCGAACACTCATGCCACATTCATCGGTCAACGCCTCCCCCTCCCCCCAATGTTCAAAGTTGGCGGTAGGTCTGATGAGTTGCACTTCGACCGCAGTCTCCTCCGCGCGTGCCAACTTCGAATTTTGGGGAAAGGAGGAGTGTCCATTAATTGTTTCCTTCTAATTATCGCATCGGCGGCGAGACCCATGCCAAGAAACACTCTGCTTGCCTCCAGGGTGCCCTGGGTTTCTTGGGCTTCGCTGGTTTTGCTATGGGAAGCGTGACGTTCCCACACCAGAAACCAATGGACGTCCTGGGGTCTCAGGGTTGGGGTTCTTCTGGAAGGTTTCTTGTGGTCGAGCTCCTACTGTAATTGTTTCCCTCTGCCGTGTCGGCGACGTGTCGCCGATTCCAGGCCGATATTTCCCTCCCTGAGCCGTTCCGCGCCTGATCGTTCCCCGTCAGGCTGCCTGCCCGACACCACTGGCAACATGACGCCCCTGCAGGATCCCCGCGCTGTCGGGGGTCTCGGGCGGTTCGGCCGTCCCGGAGGTATTGTCGAGCTCCTTGAGCTCGTCGATCTCGTCCAGCTCGCCAGGCTCGTCTGGCTCGCCCAGCTCGTCGTCTTCGTCCTCTTCTATCTTTGCTCTTTATCTGTAACTCCTCCCTGTCGCACCCACAGACGTGTCGTCAGGGCGGGCCGGGCGTTTCGCCTGATATTTCTTCACTGTTTGCGATACCGAAGCTTGAAACTTGCAACAGTACGTGGCGCCAAGGCAAAAACCCAATTTTGGAAACGATCCCCTTGCATCCTTCATACCGTTGCAAGTCCCAAGCTTCCAGTCTCAGACGAAAGTTTTCACTTCAGGACCGCCCTCCCTCCGTGTAAGTGCTGAACTCTTCGAGCCGGGAATGCGCGGCGCCATGGCGAGGTCCCCATTAGAAAACAGACCGTCTCCCATCCGTTCATACACTTTAATGGCCTCGGGCCCATCCCGCCACCGTGCCTGGGTCGTGGGTGACAGTCCTCAGGGAGATTCTTGGGTCCCTTCGGAGCGCTCTCAGGGGCTTCTGGGGGGCAGTTTTGGGATCTTCTCGGAGCCTCCAGCGGGCCTCTTGGGAGCCTCTTGGGTGCCTCTTGGGGCTTCCTGGGATCATCTTCTTGGGAACCTCTTGGGGGCTTCTTGGGGGCCTTCTGGGGGCCTCTCGGGACCGAGGGGTCGAAATGTCCGTTCGGGTTCCCCGTCTGGGCCCCCTTGTGGAGTTGTCTCGGGGGACTATGGGGCGGAGGACTCTTGTGCCGTCGTTGAGCCCTCTTGGGCCGTTTTGGTGATCTCTTGGAGGTCTCTTCGGCCGTCTTGGGGCGATATTGGGAGCTTCTTGGGCCGTCTTGGAGCGTCGGGAAGCCGAAAAGGCGAGAGCGCCAAACTCATTCAAAAACCACAGGAAAAAACTGATTTGTGCCCCTCTGGAGGCCCTCTTGGGAGTGCTCGCAGGCCTCTTCGGGCGTCTTCGAGGCCTCTTTGGCCGTCCGGAGGCTATCTTGTGCGTCGTGGAGCGATGTTCGGGCGTTCCGGGGTCCTCTTGGGCCGTCTGCCTCTTCAGGCTCTCTTGGACCGTCTTGGGGCTCTCTTGGGCCCGAAATAGTCACGCGACAAGATGCGGGAAGCCCACGACGCAAGAAGCCCCAGTATATTTGAGAATTGTGGGTCTGCGCCCTTTAATGGGCTCCTCTGGAGTGAGGATTGAGTCTTAGAGGACTAGGGATAGGACCTAGGGCCACGCCCACTTCGTGCCGAAGGGCACGGTGTCGGACAACTTTGCAACACATTATAGTATGGAGGGAGCTTCATTGTCAACATGGGGCTTTCGCCTTAGCGCCGCGCACAATGGTGGTCCTAACAGTTTGCAGCAATATTGAGGATAGAGGAGTGGTGGTTTTCAACATTGGACTTTTGCGTTAGCGCCGCGCGCGTTCGTCCTAGAAGTTGGTTTTCAGAGTGGGGCTGCCATCTTATCGCCGCGCACCGTCGTCCTGAGAGCTTGCACCAGCTTCAAGGTTGAAGGGGATTTGTTTTCATAACTGATCCCCCCCGCCCTAGCACCGCGCTTGTTCTTAAAAGCTTGCATCAACTTCGAGGATGGAGGGCGGCTTATTTTCAAAATGGGCCTTTCGCCTTAGCGCCGTGCACATTCGTCCTAAAAAAGTTGCAGCATCAGGATGGACGGGGTGGTGGTTTTCCATAGGGGGCTCTCGCATTGGCGCCTCGCACGTCCGTTCTCCAAGCTTCAAGGATGGAGTGGGGCTCTTTTTCAACATGGGCTCTTGCCGTAGCACTGCGCTTATTATTCTTAAAGCTTACAACACCTTCAAATTTTGAGTGCGGTTCCTTTTCAAAATGGGGCTCTCGCATGAGCGCCGCGCACAGTCAAGAGCTTCAAGGATAGATGCTGGTTTCTTTTCAAAATGGGGTTCTCTCTTTCGCGATACTGGTCCAGATTGGCGCACAGCGGTCCTAAACATTGCAGCAAGTACACGGGCGGATCCCAATTCCTTTTTTACATGGAGCTCTCGCTTCAGAGTTATTTGCATTCCAGACCAACAACTTACACATTTGTAACGGCTGCGCTGATGGAGAGCGGTTCCTTTTCGAAATTGGGTTGTCGCTTCAGATCTCTACGTAGAGCACGACCAGAGGTGTAAATTTGTGCAACAGCTGTACAGAGGGGAAGGCTCTTTTTCAACACGGGGGTTTCGTTGGACATCTTGTTGAGCTGTATAAGCATCTCTCCCGTCGCATTTTCTATTGTCGTCGAGGCCTTGCGGCTGGTGCCGTCTACTGTGTGTGTTTTGTATGTTTAGGTGTAGATGCTTTCATGTTTTGCACATATGTCGATGTATATGTGTGTCTATGTATCTGTAAATGGTAATGTTTATGAATATGTTTTTGTCGATGACTATGTATGTATGCAGGTATGTATGTCAGTGCGTGCACGGGAAGGTTGTGAGCGAAATGACTTGATGACACAGGTCAAAGAACGAAGCTGCTTAAACGGGGGACCCCTGGACTCCATAGCCTTTCTTCGGTTCGAGATGGCCCAGGTCCCAGCTGGACACTGGGCTGTCCTCGCGCTGGGGCTCTTGCATCTCTCCGCGCACTTCCTGCCAGAAGCGCCGCCATCGCCTGGTTTGCTTCCTTGCGCGCTGAAGGCCGTGTGCCCGCCCGCGTGGCTGCCGCCAGAGGGCGCGGACGTCTGCCCTCCGTGCCCAGAGGCGCCGCCGTGTGAGGCGGCTCCTACCGTCTGCGCGGCTGCGGAGCCGGCCCCGGTGGAGGACAGCGGACCCCCTCGGCGCTCTCCTGGCGGCGACCCCCCGCGTCTTGGTGGCGCTGGCTTTGGAGGTCTGGCGCGTGGCGCGGAGCTGCTGTCGCCGTAGCCCCCAGGCTGCGGGTGCTGAACGGGATGGCGTTGCTCCCGCACTACGTGGAACAGGAGTGGTGGAGGCGCCTCCGACCAGGGCAGCGTCTCGTCGTCAGATATAGCGACGACCCAGTCGACCACGAGCGAGTGCTGCTCTACCCGAGCCTGCCGCCTGGGACGTGGGCGGCGCGGACCCCCGACGGGGACGAGTACGAGGAGGACTTCGCGGGAGCAAATCCTCAGACGGGGCAGGAGTGAGCGGCGCTGATGCCGATCGGCGGCGGGGCGCCCGAGGGTTGGCCGCGGCCGATCTACCGCTTCCGTGCCGCCCTCACGGCTGAAGAGCTGCGGGCGGCGATCAGGCGCGGGCGCGCGCTGGTGGAGGCGCGCCTCCCTGGCATCGCGCCCGAGGCGCCGGCTGAGGTCGCGGGCCCTGGCGATGCGCTGGTGGAGTGGGCCACGTTCTTCGGCGAGGCGAGGCGACCAGCGTCGCTGCGGCTGCGGGGAAAGCAGTCGCTCGCCCCGCTGGAGGACGACCGCGTCTGGGTCGTTGCCGAGCCCACGGAGAGCGCAGCGGTCGGCACCGCGGTCGATCGGGCGGACCCGCGGATTGTTCCCGCGACAGCGCTGGCGGGGCTGTTCGTCTTCGCGGAGGGCCCTCGCCGTGTGGAGGCGCTGCTGGCGGACGATCTTCCAGGGTATGCGGCGAGGCGGCGCAGGGAGATGGGCCTCAGCGACTTCCCGGCCGCTGAGGCGGAGCGTGACGGGCCAGGACCTGCAGGAGCCGCCGACCTTCGCGAGCGCCTGGGCCGAGCCGCGGACGCTGGGGGTGGGCCGCGCCCCGATAGGGCGAGTGGCACGGCTGCCCCGCCGCCCGGGGGCGCGGGGGCTGACGGTGGAGATCTCCGCATCTTGGAGGTAGACTACGACGCGCAGGGCGAGAGGTACAAACCCTTCAGGACCGCATGCCGCGAGTCCTCGCAGGAGGCCTTCCCAGACCAGCCAATCGAGGGCCCCGCGTCGGCTTTGACGGCGTGTAAGAACATGGAGCGCACCAACGGCGACCCCAGGCCCTGGCTGCGAGACTTCCTGAGGTCAAAAGGCTTCGGGGACAACGACAGGGTATAATATCGCGAGCTGCGGGTTCTCTGCGACATCCTCTTCTGGGCCGCCGTGTGCGACCAGGTGAACTTAGGCGGCCTGATGTGCCTGGAGACGGCGGCGAGGAGGATCGCGGGGCTGGTGGCGGTCTACTCGGACCCGGCCAAGCCTGTGCGGGGTCGCGCTCGCCTCTATACGGGCGCCGCCTGCTCGGACGACATCGCGGGCCAGGCGCTGCAGCAGTTCGCCACCCGCAAGATCAAGGGGCAGCAGGAGGCCCAGGTGGCGTTGGCGTTCGGCAAGGGGCCGCAGCGCATGGACGGCGACGCCCCCCAAGACGACGGCAAGGGCCGACCAGGGCGCCCGCCGCCGAAGGGGCCGAAGGGAGGCGGGCCCCCCCCCCGAACAAAAAAGGCAATGACTGCCCCCACGGCCGGGGAGAACCCCGTCCCCGGCCGGGATTCAGGGGGGGCGCGCGGCCGGCTTGCCGCCTCGCGCCGTGCCGGGGAGCTGTTCCCGCTGCCACGCTGGCGCCTGCCTGAGCTGCCCGCGGCCGGCTCCGCGCGGAACCTGGCCCTTCGACGGCGAGAACGGCTGGTGTTCAAGATGGGCCACGAGGCGGTGGATGCTCTGAACTGGCTGGCGGGCTTCCGAAGCGGCCCGTCCTATTTCGAGCCCGACTCGATGCAGGGCGAAGTTTTGGAGCGGATCTGCGAGTTAGCCTCGAGCGGTGCCCGGGCCCTGACGCCCCAGTGAGGGCGCAGCCGTTCGCTGGCTGCTGCGAGGGCACGCGCCGTGCGATGGGGCGGGGTGCCCCACCCGTTGCGCCCGTCAAGAAGGGCCTCGTCTCCCCACCCGAGACAGTGGAGGGCTGCCCGCCGTTCGAGGACGCGGCCCCGCCCGAGGTCCAACGCTTCCTGAAGGGGCACCCCGAGCGCATGCTACGCTCAGACAGTCCCTCCTCCTCAGTGACACCATACTTCGACCCCGCGCTGAAGCGCAGCGCGAAGACCTACAGGCAGTTCATCGCCGACCTGCATTTCCGTGGCCTGATTGGTTGGACCAGACGCCCTCGCTGCCAGGTCGGCCTCTTCTTCGTCGAGGAGGATGGCGGCCAGAGGTTGCGGCTTATGCTGGACGCCAGGCCTGCGAACCTGCTTTTCGAGTCGCCGCCTGGCGTGGCCCTCCTCAGCGCCGAGGGCTTCAGCCGGGTGGAGATTGCTCTTCCTGAAGACTTGGGCCCGTGGAGTGAGGGGGCCCACCAGCTCCTGCGTGGCTACTCCCTGCACTTGGGGCTCGCCGACGTCAAGGACTGCTTCCGCAGGTTGCGACTCCCAGGATGGCTTTCTGAGTACTTCTGCCTTCCTGAGGTACCTGCGTACCTGCTCGGCGCCGAGGGCCAGTTTTGGGGGGGCAGGACACTGGGGAGGCACGATCTGGTGAGTCCTTGGTGGGCCGTCTTCCCGATGGGCTTCGCGTGGAGCTCGTGGGCGGCTCAGCGCACCAACGAGCACCGGGCGCGTGCCATCTGTCCTCAGTTGCTCGAGGGCCCGCTGACTGACCGAGGGGGGCCAGCCGTCTTCGGCCCGACCGCGCCCGAGGGCCACGTCTCGCACTACGTGTACGTCGACAACCTAGGCGTGGCCTCCACCTCCGACGAGCCCCTCGTCTCCGATGCGATTGCCCAGCTCGTCGAGGGCTTCGACCGGCAGGGCTTGCTCCTGCGCGGCAGCTCGGCGGGCGCCGACGCCGAGACGCTGGGCGCAGAGGTCTCGGGAGCGCACTGGAGGACGAGGGTCACTCAGAAGCGCTTCTGGCTGATTCGGCAGGCGCTCAACGGTTTGCTTCGCCGCCGTCGCCTCACTGGATGGGCGGTAGAGGTGCTGGTGGGACATTGTACCTTTGCGGGTTTGCTATCGCGTGGGACCTCGAGCGCGTTTCACACCGTGTACGCCTTCATGCGGAAGTCCTACGCCGAGCCGCGTGTTCTGTGGCCTGAGGCGCGCCAGGAGCTGGAGACGTTCCGCGGCCTGCTGATCTTCCCGGGGGCGACTGGACGCTGCAGTGGAACGACCTGGCGGTGGCCACCGCCAGCAGCCTCGAGGCGGGCGCCGTCTCGACCGCCCGCTGGCCGCGCGCCCAAGTGGCCGAGGTGGGCCGCGTGCAGGGGCGCGCCCGCGTCCGCGAGCCCGTGGCGGCCGGGGCCGAGGGGGCTGCGGACGGGGCGCCTGTCGCCCGCCGCGGCGCCCGCGAGACAGCGCTGGAGGCAGCTGGCTTCTGGCGCGATGAGCGCGGCGAGCGGCGGCTGGCGGGGGCGGCCGAGGGCGACGCGCTGGCTGGCGCGCGGGGGCCCGATCCGAGCTTCCCCGAGGTGCCCGCGGCCGGGCTGGCGAGCACCCGCTGGCGGACTAAGCAGGTGCAGCGCTGGCGTTTCGATGGGGGCATTCTTGTTGAGGGGGCCCGAGCGCTGGCGATGGGCGTCCGCCGTGTGGCCCAGTCAGTGTTCGGCGCCGCCTGCCGCCAACTGATATTGTCGGATTACACGTCAGTGGTGCTATATTTTAACAGGAGTCGTGCAAAAGAGTTTGCTCTTCTCGTCCAAGTTCGCAGGTTTCAGGTCCATTGTCTCGCGAGGAATATGAATGTGTCTGTGAGATAGGTTCCGTCTGAACTGGATCCAGCGGAATGCGGGTTTCGAGTTTTTGACGAAGAAGGGCCGAAAGAGCCCCTTGGTGCACTACTGCCCGATGTCTTCCCTTCTTTGGAGTCCAGGTTTGAAGGTCGCCCCGAGGTTCGCCCCTTTCAAGTTTCTCCTGTCAAGAGCTCCGTGGGGCCCCAGCCAACCTGCAGCCCCGAGAGCGCTCAGTGCGTTAGCCCGTGTTGGCCTTGTAAATCGGAAGGGCCACCAAGCATCCCCGTGGGCGCTCTTCTCATGTATTCGAGGTGCGGTCTGACGTCCTCGTGCCCCATTTCGGCTCGAACCTGTTCTCAGGCCCGTCCTACCAGTGGGCCTGCGCTCCTGCATGCTGCGACGCGGCGTCCGTCGGGGGGCTCCGGCGCCCCAGCCTGGGGCTCCAGCCAGGCGGCCGCGCTTGCTGGAGAGACCGAGCCCTGCCGCGCCTGGCTCTCCGCCGCCGCGGCGACTTGCGCTCCCGCGGCGGGCCGCAGGCCCCCGCGGGGCCTTCGCCGCCTGGCCGGGCTCGCCGCGGAGCAGAGGTCGCTGGATTGGCAATCGCGCCTGGGCCTGGCATCGCCGCCGCCGACGCCGAAGCTCCCCGAGCGCGACCAGGAGCTCCGAGCCCTCCCCCAGGACTGGCCGCACCAAATCGCGGCCGACAGCGACGACGGCAGCGGCGCCTCCGACGATCAGCAGGTCGCGCCAGCAGGCGAGCGGCGGGAGAGAGCTGCTCAAGAGGGCCACTCGGCGGAGACGCGCGCGCGGGGCCGAGGCGCTGCTGGACAGCGCAGCGGGGGAGGGCCAGACGATCCTGGAGAGGCGGTCGGTGTTTGCACCCGCGCGGACCCGCTGCACCCAGGAGCTCGATGCCCTCCTGGACTTCTGCGGCCGCCGGCCGACGCGGGCTCTGACGTCGGCTAGCGAGGTGGACGAGGCAACGGTCGATTACATGAACCACCTGTTCTTCGAAGGCCACGAGTCGGCGAAGGGAGATCAGGTCATGGCAGGCCTCATGTTCAGGTTCCCGGAGTTCTCGAAGCAAGGGGGGGCCAAGACGCCTCGAGCCTGGAGGTGCCTCCGGGCTTGGCGCAAGCTGGCGCCCGGACGGGGCCGCCGCGCATGGCCGCTGGCCCTCTTGCGCGGGCTCGCCCGGCGCATGGTGGCGAGGAATGCGTTGCAGATGGCAGTGTTTTTTGCTCGCGATGGTGTCGGGCTACTTCAGGCCCAGCCACCTGCTCACCCTGACGCGCGGCAACATCATTCCGCCTGCGCCCGGAGCGTGCCGCTGGTGGTCCCTGCTGCTGTTCCCGGACAACAAGCCGCAAAAGAGCAAGACGGGTTTGGCCGACGTCGGGGTGATGCTAGACAGCGGTTGGTTTGAGTGTGCCACGCCCATCTTCCGAGAGCTCGCCCGAGGGGGTACAGAAGACAAGGTTTGGGAGTTCAGCCACCCGCAGTTCTTGGCTACGTTCAAGAAAGCTCTGTCAGATCTGCAGGTGCGAGAGCACACAGTGCCATACCAGGCTCGCCACTCGGGCCCAAGCATAGACAATGCAAGACGATACAGAACAATAGAGGATATCCAAAAGAGAGGCCAGTGGAAGCATGCCAAGTCGATGCAGCGGTACGAGAAGGCGGCGCGGTTGGGTCAAAGTTGGTCGCTCCTCCTGCCCCAGTTGCAAGACACGCTGAGAGAGTGCGAACAACGTCTCGAGGACATACTAATCGGAAAAGGTGCCGAGGCGATAACCCTGTGAGGCGGCGTGGCCGCCAGCGTAAGTATGTCCTGGACTTGTTTTCGGGCTCAGATTCGGTAGGCAGGGCGGCGTTGAGGCGTGGTTTCAACTATCATGGTTTCGACAGCTTCAACGGACCCTAAGAGGATCTCACCAGGCCTGTTGTTATTGCCCGAGTTCGCGCCGCCATAGGCCGTAAAGAAGTCATTGCAGCATGTTTTGAGCCTCCCTGTGCGTCTTGGGGTACCGCCGCAGATCGGGGCCGCCAGCCCGGTCGCTCGAAGGATTTTCCCTGGGGCATACCAGACGCCTCAGACTAAACTCGACGTAGGATTGCGCAGGGCAGCTCGACCTTCGCAACAGCTTGAAGATTACGAAAGCGCTCGTGCGATCAGATGTTCCGTTCTGTTTCGAACATCCGATTAGCAGTCGTGTGTGGCACACCTCGGAGCTCCAGACTTTGTGCGATCAGCATGGAATGCATGCTCGTGTATGTGATCAGTGCCAGTTTGGGGCTCGCTGGAGGAAGCGGACTCGTCTTTTATTCTTCGGCGTTGACCCCCAAAATGCTTTCAAGCTTGAACGGCGTTGTCACAGTTTTGGAGGTGTCTGCTCGGTTTCAGGGAAGCCTCACGTTATCCTGGAGGGCAAGGCCCCCCTCGGGGGCCACGTGGACATCTCTCGCAGCATCTTACCCGCCAAAATTAGCGGACTGCATCGTGAATTGTTTACTGAGCCGCCACAGGGACCTTGAAGCGGCTGCCCTCCTTTAGCCCACCTCACCCTCCCAGTGAACCCGTAGGGATATTGGGCTGTCTGTTGCGTCTCTGCTTCGCCAAGACGAGTGGCATGTGGTAGCAAAAATGTTCCCCACCGAATGTAGCAGTTAACCTGTCAGTGCGTGCACGGGAAGGTTGTGAGCGAAATGATTTGATGACACAGGTCAAAGCACGAACCTGTTTAAACGGGGGACCCCTGGACTCCATGGCCTTTCTTCGGTTCCCTCCCTCCTTTCTGTCTCCCTCAACGCTCTGTCGCCAGGCTGTCTGTTGCGTCTCTGCTTCGCCAAGACGAGTGGCACGTGGTAGCAAACATGTTCCCCACCGAATGTAGCAGTTAACCTGTATGTATCCATGTATGTGTGTATATGTTGATACGTGTATGTATGTATGTAGATATGCATATAGGTATGTATGCATGCATGCATTGACGAATGTATGTATGTATGCATACATGCATGTGTGCTTGTGCGTTTGTAGATATGCATGTATGAACTTATGCATGCTTGCATGTATGCGTGTACGCACGTATGCATGTACGCATGTATGCACGCATGTATGCAC